TATTAACGTTAACAGAATCTTGCTGATTTTTTGTAGACACTTCATCAGATGTATCTATCAGAGCATCATTAGACTCACAGTTAACGGACATGCTTTGAGAATCTTCTCCCTGGGACAAACCATTTTCCGAATTTGCATTTTCATTCTCAATTTTGCACCTTCAGAATGATTTACTTTTTCTGCTTTTATATATTTCAGCATTGAACCACGTAACTGTTCTTTTCATTCTTCAAAAGTCGCCCGCTTTCGTCTTTTTTGCATAACCCGATTCAAATTTTCTGCCCTTGTCACGTTCTCTTCTGTTTTTAGTCTTAGACATTTTTGCGATAGATATAATCTTATTATTTGTCACTAACCACAGGTAATTCACTATACGACAAGAACCGTTACAAACTCATCCAAACTTCTGGTTGTTTCTCCGGTAAGAAACAAATTTACACTCGAGAAATTAACAAACAAGGAGATACGTAACAGTATACTTAAATAATGTAACTAACGAGTGTTGTTTTGTTTTTCGGTTAATATAAACCAGACCTGTTTGGACAAACATTATTATTTCTAAACTTAATTTGTAGAGAATATTAAAAAAAATATTGGGGGGTGGGGAACTTGAATAAACTATATTTATTCAAAAATACAATAACAGCATCTTTTAGAATAGGGGAATTCTGGTTTTAATTATTACAACGTTTTGATCCACAATATAGATCATCAACAAGTAACAATTTCATTCAGTAAAGCACTTATTAACAGTCGCTGTTATTATATTTTTGAAGAAATTAATTACTAGGATCCTCACTAAACATTAAAATACCCGTATGTTAATCGAACAACGTTTATTTCTATTATCGTTTAACGTAAATTACAATACAATCTTTCTAAATGCATTATTTTACTTGAAGTTAAAAATTCTTATTCCTACTATTTCTTGAAACTGTCAAATCTTGCAAAAGGTAAGACGTAAAAAGTTAAGTAAATAAATATTTGACTTGTATCATGTATACCAAGAGAAAAACTTGACGATAACTTTGATATATAGAAACATCTGTTAGCTGAGTTCTTGCACTGATCTTAAGATATAACGTTCATAAATGTAAGCATCGGCTCATGTTTATACGTAGATCTTGAAAGTCGAGTTGTTCCAAACTTGAACATAGCGTTGATAACTGGACCAATTGTTGGTTGAGATGTTACAAAGGAAATATCTGCTGAAGCTTTTCGTCAGACACTAATCATAGCAGAGCCATCTGGAAAATGATCTATAGGAAATAGTACAGCTTATAAAATGAGTCAGATCAACGTTAGCCGGTAAAGCAATCACTGATTGGCGTGTCCTTTAGCCAATCAGGAAATGTTACAGACCTACTGAAGGATGTATAGATTGTATAGGAATTATTTTAGGAGGCAAAGGACAGGTTTATGTGTTTTAATATATTTATTTAAAGTGATTGACTTGTCAAAATCAATGAAGATTGACTTTACTAGGAACTTATAAATAAATAGTAGCTATAGACTGAAAAGTTTTGTTTAATAAAAGAACGACAGGAAATCTGCTGTGTTCTGAGGTCAGATGAAGGAGCAGGTTATGAAAAGCCTGCCTATAATATATATAGGACGTTTGTTTGTTTGTAATTAAGCACAAAGCTACACAAAGCCCACCACGGGTATCGAAACCCGGATTCTAGCGTTGTAAGTCCGCAGACATACCACTGTGCCACTGGGAGGCTGTATAAGATGTTAGGTTGTTTGTCTATTTATCTCTACAATGAAAGACTAGAAGATTTTTTTTGTTTGTTTGTCACGCAAAGCTACACGAGGGCTATCTGCGCTAGTCGTCCCTAATTTAACAGTGTAAAACTGGAGGGAAGGCAGCTAGTCAAAACCAACCACCGCCAACTCTTGGGCTACTCTTTTACCAACGAATATAACGCACCCACAGCTGAAAGGGCGAGCATGTTTGATGGAATGGGCATTTGAACCCGCAAATTTCAACCATGCCATGCTTCTGGTGAAAGTTGTATTATATTCCAGGAAAGTTTATTTTTTGTGTGTGATGACTTTTCAGGTACCTTTTTCAAGCGTCTACCCTTAAGATTGATGATTATGTGATAAAATGTGCGCATCTTTTACAAGATACGGTATTATTTTGATCATTCCTTGTGTGTTAGTTTACCATATTAGGGGGATTTCGGCCGACCCCCCTCCCCACATACATGCGTGATAAAAAGAGGTGTAAATGTGTTAGTGCTGAAATAAAGTGTACCTCAGTATGTAAATGAGGTAGAGACTACAACCAGGAAATTAAAAAAGTAACATTTTCTGGTATTATTTTATATCGGAATAAGTTGTTGATGTCGTTAAAGATTGACAAGTGGTGTTTTAATTGAAAATCTGTATTCATGTCATCATACATAACTTTATGTTTTTACCAAAAGTACAAATCGCTATCAGCATATATTACTGCATTTTAGAAACGTTCTTGTCATCCAATTTAGATATGTCAGCCATTTGACAACAAGTTAAGTTGGTTTCTATGTTGTTACGTATCTGCTTGTTTCTGGTAGAAATTCTTTCCGAGGATCTTCAACGATACAAGTCATTTCTTTATTAAACCAGTTTATTCTTCCTCGATAAAAACTTTTAGTACACAGTAGTTCCACAATCAGTACGTTTCTCGTCACTTTAAACTTAACAACTTTTATAATATACGCTATAACTCACAGCAGTTCACAATCTCGATAACTTCGCTCTCGACGAGGGCAAAAAACACACATTACGGCTCACTCGCTCGAAACTAACAGAATCATAAATTACACGGAACTCAACGTAACTACTGTTCTCTCTTCATTTATATCCCCGCTGGCTTTCTCTGCCAGGCTTATATACCAACAAAGAGGGCACTTGGAACATACTCAGACTTCCCCGAACATTCGCGAAACTCATCACGCACGCTACCAGCGCCAAACGCGCCAGCAGCGTCACGTGACTTCCGCTGTCATAACAATATTTTAAAATGTTTGTTTGCTATTATATCTAGGTTCAAACTTTTAACTAAAATACCTAAATTAATACATATATTTGAGATTTCTTAATGACCATCTTGGATTTGATGACCATCATAACCGTTTCAGGACAACATTCAGCTGAAAACACATTTCAAATGGACTAGTTCTAATTTACCAGCCATCAGGGTTTATTCCATGTTTTTTTAAACCAAAATTAACAAATTTAAATCACAACTTGCTTATTTTTATAAATTATTACAGCCTCCTTAGATGAACTTCAAATATGTCTATATCTGAACATGATCTTTACTACCATACCAACTATTAAGCCAGGTTTCATGTTTTTAATCCATTTCGAACAAATTTTCACTATGCTGATAGGATTTCAGTGTTTGCTAAATAATCAGTTAGTAGTAGTTGTATAATGGTAATAAATAATCTATACTATTGGTTTTTTCTAATTCTGTATAAAACTCAAAAGCTATTCAAACTACTGGTCTGATCTTAATGGTTCAAAAGCTGATACAATGTAAAAGTAACTTTTAACTATAAATTCTCATCCTAATTCCAAAGAATGTATTTAAAACTCTTACACCATAGTTACAAAACCAACAATCGCAATAATATACTGAGGGTGTCTGCAAAGTATTTCCAGAAAATCAGCATAGTATTGTTGCACAAGGATATCATCTTACATTTAACACTGCAGTCAAAATTTGGGTTTTTTAAAAAGAGATCAAAATGTGTGGTGCACATATGCTTGGTGCTCATAGTTAATTTGTAAAATTTTCTAAAAGTTATTATTTATTTCAGTTCAATTTGAACACAAAGACTCACTCATGTAAAAACTTAACTTATCCTTGCTTTATCTGCACATAGGACTAAGATCCACTAACTGGTAATTAAGCGTCTTCGCTGGCAGGAAAGATGGCTATGACTTCACTAAAGATGTTCTGAAATATCCTTTTTTTGTCCTGTCAGCGAATCGTGTAATGGTCTGGGGATCTCGGTCCTTACATTCGAACGTGAATGGTTCCAGGGCTTGTTTGTTTGTTTGT